CTTCTTTCTGTGGGGTGCATTGAAAGACGCTGTCTATCGAAACAATCCTGCTACTCTAGATGAGTTTGAATCGTTTACTGGTGTTGCATGTGATTCCATTTCCGTCAAGACATTGCAAGACGTGATGTCAAATTTTATTGTTCGTTTACGCCACCTCATTGTTCCGAACGGTGAACATTTTGAAAAAAATTGTATTTTGATTGCAAAGGCTGCTTCACTTTATTTTTTTAATTAATTTTTTTGACTCCTTTCAAAGAAAGAGTTTTCAGCGCAGAGCGCCATCTGTTAACGATTTTCGTAACTAAATTTTCTAAACTTTTGTAAACCATTTTTACAGTTTTGCTAATAAATGTACAGTTTACCGCATAATTCTATCGATTTTTGTTGTAGAGATATTTAATTTTAAAATCAGGGCTTATTCGCTGATCACCCTGTACATAATACATAACGTAATCATACATAGGCAATACGTAAAATAATACAATGACGCATAAAAGGTTAAAATGCACACATATGACTAATGATACTAAAAGTTCAAACAACATATAAAGTCTCTCAAGGCTACAAAGGCTTCGAAACTCATAACAAGGTAACAGAAAACAGGAGACCAGTAAATAGAGAGCCACCCTAAACTTACTTAAATGCACTTCTGGTATTCGAATGTAACCTACAATGCAAGAAAATATGTTCCACATCTTCCGCTGCATCGCCTCAAGCGCAAAGGTTACAAGTGACAATATTGAAACGAAGAAAGTAAATTCCAAAATTCGCATGACCGTCGGTGTCTTCCTGTTCCCGCGATTCCTGTTTCCGCGGTTGTCAAAAACGCTCCTGTTTCCACGAAATTGTGAATCTTCATTACCCTCTTCTCAAAGGGGTTACATAATGGGGGTTGTGCCGAGTGGGCCTTGGCCTCTACCGAAATGTAGGAAAGCAAAAAATTTTTCTATTTACAAAAAAGAATTTTTAAAACGAATAATCGAAAAATATTTATGATCTCAGATCTTTGCATGAATGAAGCTAATACTATATTTAAAAGGAGAGAGATATATATATGTTCAGACTCTGCGATGATTTTGACAATGAACCAAAAGATCGTTTCCTAAATTTAAAAAACAATATTCTTCTAAAATTATGCATAATGGTGAGTTATAATAAAATCTTTCAGAACTAAAATGAACGTTCTAAAATGACGTTCGTTCTTGAAAAACAACTTCTGCTTTGGTTTTAATTGCGCCTTTTTATTCTTTCATTTATGCAAATCCAATAAACTACATTTTCCTTATTTCTCTTCCGAATTCGATACTGATAACTTTTATAAAGGGCTAATTAACTAACTAACTAGATTCATAACGCTGCTTGTTCAACTAAGAACATTCAGGGTCCGGCAAATCAGCCAGAAATAGTCACCCAAGGATGACTTTTGACACACCCGCTGGGCTCGGGGTCCCACATCCCCTGGTTATCCAACAATTTAAAAGGCTCCCTCTGCTAAAGGCTCAACGTTTAGCCGACCCACGGCTAAACACGGAGCAGTCAGAACCACCGTCCCGGCTGGACCGAGACTACAGTGGGGTGGGCGATGACAAATTGGAGCGATGACTGGCCGTTGATTGAGGCTACCTCCTAGCACTACACGTGATGCCCCTCTCCTTAGGCTTTACATGGAATACCAAGGACAGCAGTGACCAGACTCTAAATGGTCCAGTTTGCTATTTGGCAACCAATACCCTGGTGGAGGGGACAAACACCTCCCGGCCCATGAAGAGTAAGTATAGACTCACCCTATGGACCATCGGGAACCGCCAAGTTCATAAATTTTATACCTCCGTGGTCGAGACTGCCTAGGTACAGATCCTAGCCAGTACTTCGCAGAGTACTCTACATCGACCCACGGAGGGGGATAAAGGGCTAAAGACGTTTTTTTAGTTTCAATAATGTCTAAAATCCATATTGATTAACATAAGATGTGAAAATAACAGCTAATATTGTATCAGAATTATAAATAGAATGAAATTAAAGATTTAAAGAGGAGCTTAAACTTAACGAAGACTAACTTATTCTCAAAGAAACTGCCCAGCTCTTCTTAATGACATATCGTGACGTCTCCTGAGGGGGAGGGGAACTGTACTCTCCGATTTCGCGGTAACAGGAAGAATTTTGAAAAACGCGGAAAGAGGAATCGCGAAAACAGAACTAATTTGGTCAAAATAGGAGTAAATTTATAATGCTCGTAGTTAAGTCGGTTGAAATGCTCTAAACTACTCGTACCAACCACCTTTACAGTTAATTCTAATACCAACCACCTTTACAGTTAATTCTGGAGACTCATAGTTAAGTCATTGAAAAACACTTGGAAAAAAATCTCTTTGTCGACTGGACCTTCGAAGAAGTAAGACATTCAGCATTCCAATCAACCACAATTTTCTCCCAAGCCAAATGATTCCAGACAGCCTTGGGAGCCGACAACATCAAATCAGTATAAGCCGCTTTCTTAGCCAAATGGTCAGTCCTCTCATTGCCGAAACCTCGAACGTAGGCGAAACCTGTGGCCTCGAACGCAGGTAAAATTAATATCTGTAGTTTGTCCAGTCGCATGTAATATAGAGTGAATTTCCACCACCAGATTTTCAGTCGATTGTGTAGAAATGAGAGAGAAGAAAATGAATCTGTGCAAACATCTCTTTCTTAATTCAAGGATTTTGTACCTGTTTAACGCCAAGATTTGTGCTCAGAAGCTCGGCTTGAGAAACAGAACATACCTCTGGTATCCTATATTGCATAGCTACATTTATAAGGTATTTCTCCCAATTTCCTGGCGTGCCTTCGTGGTGTAGTGGTTCTGCACGCTGGGCCGATATCCCAGATTGGATTGGATTACTCAATTATGGCAAAGCACACGAGGTCTATCTGCCTAAAGGGAGGGATGCCATCGTGGAGGACTTTCCAAGGGCAACTGGCTCACATACACGTAACACATGGGGAAAACCACTAAAGCGCCCATTCAGCCAGTCCGTTCGCGGGATTCGAACCTCGGACCGAACTACCAGTGTTCAGCGTCTTTACCGCTCGGCCGCTGGTGGGCCGGGCCGATATTTTAGAGGTCCATGGTTCGATTCCCGGCGAAGGCGTTTGCTAATTTTTCATCTTGCCTGCTTCCAAAAAAATCCTAAAGTCTCTACAGTTGCGTTCGAACTAAAAGGAATGTGGATGATGATTCTCCGCACCCAGAATTTGGCGACTAGGTCTCCTAAAACCCTAGTCGTCTTTTGCAAAGGGGAGTATATAGGGTATTTCTCCCACTTTCCTGGGGTGCTTTCGTGGTGTAGTGGTTCTGCACGCTGGGCCGATATTCCAAAGGTCCGTGGTTCGATTCCCGGCGAAGGCGTTTGCTAATTTTTCATCTTACCTGCTTCCAAAAAATCCTAATGTTTCTACACATTCTACCTGTCATCTTCATAAATGGCAAATACAAGGCCAAGCTTTCCATTTAACTTACTACTTACTGTGAAAAATGAACAAATAATTCTATATTCTTCGAAAGCATTATTGACATATGTAAGACTGGCACAATTTTTCTGTCTGAAAGGTGAGGTAAATTAAAAAAATAAAACATTCCATTAAAGGGATTGCAAGGGTTGTCATTAGAATGTCTATGTCTAAAATCCGGATTATATAAAATTATTAAATCAGCAGGGAAAGACCAGAAAGAACCAGACTAAAAGAATTTTGCAATAAACTAATATTCCTGTACCCCCCCCCCCCAAATGCGGAGGAGAAATTTTCTTTCTACCTTCCTAAGAAGCTTACAGTTTATTTTCTTCCTTAGAATCCCCCTAAGCTTTTGAGGCATAGCAAATGACTGGCACAATGGATTGATTATAATCAGACTGACACCGTAAGATCACCATAAGTGATCACTTTTAACACCATAAGTGTTCTTTGAATTTTGCAGTAAACTAGAACTGTTTCATTCTTACTGGAAATATGTTGTTAACATCGCAATTTATTGTTCCAAATAATTATTAAATATTTAATCTACGGCGCTTCTTCAATAAGCTCACTCCCGAGAGTTTAATCAATCTTATAAGACGTCACTGATTTTTTGTGTATCATTATAACTTTCGATTTTGAAGGGTTAAAGTCAAACTTGTAGTGTTTTAACCAATCAAAAATATAGTTTTAAGTATTCTGAGCATTGGCGTTATTAATGTTCTTACATTGTATAGTAACAAGTAAATCATCTGCAAAAGCAATTTGGTGACTGTTCTAGAATTTTCTCGAACTACAAAGCAAACCATTCACAGTAAGATTCCAAATAAAAGTACCAGAAACGGAAGGCTGAGGACTATCTACCAAATTCAATGAAGTTTGAATTCAAGTTTTTGAAAAAGTTATAAAAAAATATTTAAAAATACAAATTTTAAAAATAAATCATAAAACATGGGCGAATTTTATTTGGAAAGAATCTAAATTTTAAAATGTGTAAGGAAGAATTAAATAAGTTTAATAAAAATGAGATATTTATAAATATATACCAAATTCAATTAGCACGGAGGAGAGAAAATTTTGAGAGCTATTTATTTATTTATTTTCTTTTAACTACTCATGCCATTTTTACAAATCTTGGCACGTTGGCATAATTTGAGTTGTAGAATCGAAGTATAGAAAGCATACATTGCAGAAGAATCGAATTTTGTATCAGAATATCTATGTTAGAATAAAGATATATATAAATCTAATGTACACCCCAAGTTGCGCTTTCGAGACATGAAACACGCTACTCCAATCAGCCCAGTAGAAGGTATCGAGCTGTTCCATACTTTTGTATGTGAAAGTTGTAACATTGCATTTTATTTACAGTGTCTTGAAATATTTAAGCCTGTTAATCTGTATGAAAACGTATCGGTATTATCATTGCTTAGACTACACTTGTCCCGTTATTCAAATTGTAAAAAATGTAATACATAAATAGATATTTACTGCATAAAATGTCTTACCGTCGTCTGTGCAAGCACCCAGGAGTCGTACAACGTTAGGATGTGATATTTCCTTCAGAAAATTCATTTCTGTTATCAAATCCTTTCTTTCTGCTTCAGAACTATTTTCTACAGTAAATAAAAAATATATTTTACTTTTTTGTTCGATTATTATTCTAATAATGCACATATTAACGAGAGATTTCTTTTAGAAAATTATATTTAATTATGTTCCCACACTGGAATTAACATTCAAAGTACGGTGCTATTTGAATATTTTTAGTTTATTACATCGCATATGTAATAATAATAGTATTAATAAAATATATTTTGAGCAATTCATAAAACAAGCAAAATAGTAATATATTTCTACGCTTCTAGGAAAAAGTCTCATAAGAATAATACTCGCAGGAGAAAAAGCGGTACTATTCGGTTTCGAGGGCCGTAAAAAATCGCCAAACTATTGTTGATGCCAACGCTGCCAAAAATAATTGCGGCAAGAAAGGAAGTATAATAGTAAATAACTATCTAAGATTGATGTTTTAATTTAGATGATTTCATATAATACTTTTTATTATTATAATTTATATGAAAAAGGCTAAACATGATTGAATGGAAGCATAAGAGTCAATAACTATTTCAGATCATTATTATAATTTATATAAAAATTGCTAAACATAACTGAATGGATGCCTGCATCGCTATTTCGCTAAAGCATAATTCCATCTCGTTGGTTGTTCAAACGTAATTTTCTATAATGAATGATGTCTTTTCTTTGAAAATATTCAGAATCAGAATTCAGAAGTGCAGAATCGCTCACTTATTTGTTTGCCGCTTTTTACAAGGGTTAAAACAATTGGATTTTTGTCAATTTTATTTTACTTTTTAAATGAAAATAGGTCGATGTGTACATAGATAATGTCAACGGGGTGCGCAGTGCCATTTTTGTGCAATTCTTCGATTTTTTTTAAAAATAAAAATAGGTCGATGTGCACATGGATACCGAGTATGTGCAATTCTTAAAAACGCGTCAAGCAGTGAGTGATTCTGCACTTTACCCAAAATTCTACTTCCGACTTTTCATCATGGGGAATTCCCAAATTGTTAAATCCATAGGATATCAAAAAAGGATTTAAAAATTAAACTAGTATTTTAATGGCGTCTTAAGAAATATAGAACTATATAAACTTACGCAATCTGAAAACCAGCGCGTACGCGCTTAAATGGCGCGTTAAGCTAGATTTGGACGCTTTTTGCGCATACATTTTCGCTGCAATTTTTTTACGGCCCTCAAAACAGAAGAGTACCGAAAAAGCTCACACGGAAATATGCCCATATAGAAAAACGTTCACTTATAAATATGCTCACATAGAAATATGCTCGCATAGATATATGCTCATACGGAGATAAGCCTGCTGATAAAATAAAATTCACGCAGAAATTTCCTTGCATTAATCAATCGATAGTTAATCGATTTGAACATCGTACACCTATTTGCATTTTTATAGGAGTTTTATAAGACTGGTTATGAGAAACTGCCTAAGCATGTTCCTTTATATATTATCTAAAGCATACAATACAATAACTTCAAAATAGCAGATTTTCATTTTTGAGACCGAGTTACATTTGCTTGTAACCTTACGGCAGCTCAGGTACAGGCATGACACAGTTTCGGCATGCAGTATTGTCATTTGTGAAATGTTTTGATAAAATAACACTACTGAATTTATATAACTTTCAAAAGCCTTTTTCACATATTTTACATAAGTATGATCAACTGGGCGGCATCACCAAAGTACCTAAACACGTGAATTTTATTTTTAAAATTTTAAATATCTGTAAAACCTTTAAAAAATTTTTGCTTCGAACTTAAGTAACTACATTGAGACACAAACTTTTATAAATACACATCAGAAGTGTGCAAAAATAGAGTAATAAAACAAAAATTAACAGTTGAAAGTTATGCAGGGGGGGGGAATGTTGCACATGGGCAATAGTATAATATATATATATACCGGCCCTCAAAACTCTGGATTTAACTCTAGATTTTGTATAAGCATCAATTTTGTTTTCTTAGCGTTCATAAGTTACAGTTAACGCAAAATATTACAATTTTAATTCTTTTACATACCGTTCCTGAAAAGGTTAACGTGATACTATTTCTATTTGACTTTGTTTTCCGTTTGACCATATTTATAAGTGAGCATTTTGCATGAAATCAATTGTCAGTGGGTAAATGTTACTTTAGACTGTACACGTTTAGCTGCGGTTGCAGAGCTTGGTGACATGCTATGGAATACCGGTGGGTTCTTTCGAAATGTAATAAAAATTTTGCCTAGGTGTATGGTATGGATCATTTTTATTTTAACTGCTTTGAAACCTCTAAATAAAAAACATATTGTAGATAGTAGACAGGCCATACGCGGCATATCGTTGAAAAATATTTTTTTTTAAATTAGTAATAAAAGCTAAAGGTGCAGCTTATATACGCGAGAACACGGTAAATGCTTATGCTGCATTACGACTCGAAACAATTTTATAAGTGAGAAACATATGTGTGGTAAATTGTAAAAAGTTATCACGATTTGTTTCTCAAAGATTACTTTTTGAAATTCCGTATTACAGATAGTATATTGCTGAAATATCAAAGAAACATATACTGAATATGACTGATTACCTTTAAGCATTTTGACAGCAACTGTAGTGACACCTGGTATGCCAGCAATGTTTTTGGCTTTACCCTTGACAACACGTCCGAATTCTCCTTCACCCAAAGTCTCGCCCAATGAGAGTCGATCTCTAGGAAACTCCACCTTCGATTCATTATAAAAAAGCATATTACATACATTAATAATAAGCAAGAGTTCTTTTGTTTATGTGTATCAATGTATTTATATTATTATTTTAATTAAAAATTAGGAACATATTTACCTGAATTTCTTTCTTTTCAGTGAATAATTTATGGCAGTTTTATTTTATCTTTCTAGCAGTTAATTTTATTTTGACAACACATCTACGCTTTCCTGCCAGAATGAGTTTTCAGTTTCACTCTTTATGCAAACTATAAAATACTGTCATTTAAACGGAGGTCTCATCTTCAGATAGAGTGCACTTTGGCTTTCGCCCAAGTTGTTGCTACTAGTTGAAGCTTGCTATTTGACGGCAGTGCATATGAATTGCCTGTTACTCTACGTCGGTTATATTAACCAGGCCAGCTACGCGTTATGTATCTCTCTACAGCTTCGGCGGAATATTTAACTTGGATTTATTTTAGCTTTAATGCTTCTACGCTCAAGTTAAAACCAAAAGTGACGCGCAAGTGGGACAACCTATTTGTACGCGCAAGTGGGACTATCTGTTGTTTTGAAGTCCCAAAGTGGAACCGTCTGAAATTGTTTATGCTTTACAAAATTAAAGATAATAATAATAATAAAAAAAAAGAATTAAATTTAATAACAAGCATTTTCAAATCTTCTGTTCATATTGTTACGAAATGCCCAGCCGCGGTAAGATAGCTTCCCCGTAAAGCAGGTTTAGGGTTGCCAGATTGGGCACGAATTCGCCCGTTTGGCGATATTTGGTGACAAAATTGGCGATATGCCATAGACGGTCAGATAGCTTTCCCGCAAAGCAGATTTAGGGTTGCCATAAAATGGCAAAAGAAAGCAGAGTTGCTCTATTTGGAGATAAAACGCCCTTTTGGCGACAAAATTGCCGATATGCCATAGACGGATGGAGGACTTTCTAGAATGAATTCGTACCGGTTTGGCTCAGAATGTTCTCGAAGGCAGGCCGAAAGCTATATAAACTCTGCTGGTGCGAGGAGTAATCGAGGAGTCTCGTCAGTAAATCTCGAGATGATCCATCGAGAGCGTGCAGAGGCATAGTGCCCACGTCCCCCGTTCCTTATCCTTATCCTTATACAACATATTGCTTACCATAACATCAGGAATGCAGCAATAGTTTCCGACACCATGTCAGCCTTACAAGCCATCCAAAATCCGGCACACACGTCCACAATTATCAAAGAAATTCAATACCATCTAAGGCAGACAGAGCATCTGCATGTTCGCCTGGCATGGACGAAAGGCCCACGCAGAAGGAAAAGGAAAACACCGGTACGAGGCAGCGACCTCCTCGCGAAAGACGCAGCCCTCAACAAAGAAGCGGAGGAATTGAAAATTCCATGGCTACACTCTACTTTGAAACAACATCTCCATCTGCAGGCTCTCGCTAAGTGGAAAGAAGAATGGGACACTGCACAAACAGGCAGGCGTACACACTACCATCTAATGTACGTAAACCCTGCCCGGCTATGTTCTAATACCCACTTGGTGTGCTATATCACGGGCCATGGGCCTTTCCCGGAGTATTTTGCCAAGCATGGCATGAGTGACACAGATCAGTGCAGTTGTGGCCACCTGGGTACTCCGGAGCATTATGTCACAACCTGCCCACTTACCAGCGAACTGCACATACGTATTCCAATTGTCAATACGCAGGCCTTCTGTAAATTCATAATTAAGCAGAAGCACCTGTGTCGACAGATCATTAAAATCATGAATTTACTTGCCAGACACGGCACTGACCTTTGCGCAGTCGAATAATTAGTACAAGGCCTGCATGGCTTTTGAGAAATGTCTCCTCAGATAACGCAAATATAGCGCTGAACAAGCAAAGTCTACCAACAGTTAAGTCAAACATGCCAAGTCTCCACGTATGTGTACATGTACTGTATATCCGAAGCGTACCGCACCATCTCAGCAGTACTAATCAAATTCAAGCAATGTAAATAACTTAAGCACCCAGTATATAAAATAGTATGCCAACATCAGCAGTATGCGCGAACATCTCCACTATTTACAGTGAATATCAATATGGATGACGTGTCAGAAAAAGAAAGTACACTGCAGCCAGTTATGGGAATGGGCATTGGGTAGCGTTACACTTGCAATTCAGGCTCTGTCTAGACCTGAATTGCAAGTGTAACGCTACCCAATGCCCATTCCCATAACTGGCTGCACAACCTATCTGCTTTAAATACGTGTATTTAAATGTAAATGTCGCATCGGATGTACTGAACAGTCAAAGGGCAATATCTTAGAATATGTATGCAAAAGCATATGTACAGTACAACCTGCGAACATATACAGTGACATAGTAAGATGCGCCTATGAACATTAGAAATGTATACGTACATGCCCCGGTATGTCAGACATCCTAAGCTCATTTGCATAATTGCCACAGCAATTATATTGCTCAATATGTATCAAAATCTAATGTCACATTGGACATAAACACTGCTGAATCCGAACACTGCACAAACTGTAAATGTAATACCACGTAACGCAAGTGTAACGTCATTTTTGAATAGTAATGTAAAGTCATATGTAATGTTGTATCGAATTACGAAACATATATAGAAAATACTTACAGTACCGCATTATATGCAAAACTGTCATAATAAAGTATCTATGGTCTGTACAAAATCTACAGGTACAGCAGGACCCTCAGATGTAGCAGCCTTGAGCACCTATAATGTCTATAAATCAGGTCTGCCTGTACGCCATCCTAAAGCTCAATCACATAAAAGCAAGAGCAAATATAGTGTTATAAACGCGTTCTTTATGCAACGTTACTCCTAACAATGTATTTACAGAGTTGAATCTGCATAATGTAATTCGTAAATGTCAATAATGGTAATGTAATACCACTATTATCTCAAATCTCATATATAACGTCAATGCCGTATCGCATAGTGTATATATAAGACATGCAATGTCATAATTATGTAAATATGTATATGCACAGCACTATTTATACGTGCACTGCAGTAATTTAGTTGCAATCGCCTTCTGCACACGTGTAGTGTATATGTACTAGCCCTGCATAAGTAAATACAATGTTGAATATGCATAATGTAATTGTAAACGTAATGTCAGTTAATGTTAAGTACAATTCCTTAATTTCTTCATAAACTGTAATATTAATGTCAATTTTGTATCGTAGATATATATAACGTAGATATTGTTGAACTTCTAGACCGCACCGAATAACAATAGGTAAAATCAAGAATATGCGAATATGCATATGTATAGCATATATCATATACTTACTGCAGCAATTTAGATGTAGCCGCCCTTTGAACACCAGTAGTGTTTATGCCCCTGCAAGTAAGCCCTCCCAAGCTCACTGGCAAAATTGCCGGAACATTCATAATGTTCTAATACGTAACCTAGCAAAGTCACTCCTGACAACGTCATATCAATGAGGAATATGCGTAATGCATTAATTGCAAATGTAACGTCAACTAATGTTAAGTGTGATACCATTCTTTGCCCATTAACTGATAGATGATATGCCCATGTCGTATATCATAATGGTTATAGATCGTACCGAATTATAGATCGTACCGAATAATAATTTACAATGTCATAAATAAGTAAAATGTAATGTATAGCATAAATCATACGCGTACTGCAGAAATTCAGTTATAGCTGCCTTCTGAACACTTGTAGTGTATAAATGTTTACGCCCCGGCAGGTTAACCCTCACAAGCACATTCGCACAATTGCCGGAGCAATTATAATATTCCAATATGCAGCTTTATGTCACTTAAGCCACTCCTAACAATGTAAACACAGATAGAATTTGTGTACAGCTTTATTTGTTAATGTATTACCCAGTAATGCCAAGCACAAAGTACAGTATATATACATGTAGCTCTCGCGAGGCTCCTCTCTAGCCAACTTTTAGATAAGGGTGGACATGGTGCTGTATTGATTAATCTTTACGGCAAAGGGACAGTGCCCACGTCCACCGTCACTTATCACTTATCATTTATCGTTGAGGTTATCGAGTATATCGTAGTGCATCGCGAGAGTATATCGAAGGGCATCGTCGCGTCTTGAATGTCTCGTCAGAGTCTCTTAGTCGATTGCGAGTCTATAGAGTGTTTCGTAGTCCAACGAGTTGATCTTCAGTCTAGTGTCGAGTTGGTCGCCGGAGTGTCGTGAATCTAGCGAGTGGATCGCGAGTTGAAGCGCGGAGCCTCGACAGTACGTAGAGTTCCGAGAATGACCGAACCGAGTTGGGAGCTGTGCTCTGGTGCTTTGCCGTGAAGCTGTCTTCACCGTTATAGCCTGAAGGCTGTACTGCTGAATGTTTCAGCGTATTATCGTAGATCTTCGACGATTGTAAAAGGGATTTTGTAGGTATTGAGTAATACTGGCTAAATAAATTGTGTCTGATTCTTCATCAAGAGTTGTCGTCAATCACTCCAAATCCACGATGCAGGAACTCAACAATATTCGTAATCTAATTGTTATCATTAAATTATTTAATATGCAATTATTTGTTTTATTATTATGCAATTGCATATCACAGAAGAAAATTAAGGAAATCGATGAAAAAAAGATTTTTCCTTCAAAACAGGTAGATGTAAGAAAAAGGTTACGAATCACTGATTTAAGACTACTGTGTCTGACTACATGAGAAAAAAATGGTTTGTATCACAGACTTACTGAATCCTGTGCTGCTCGATCTGTGTGTTGATTCAAAGAATTCAGGGGTGTGGTAACATTTGGAAATTCTTGATCTTTGTTCTTTCCTAATCGATGACGACAGATAAGGAATCCAGCTGTTGCCACAAGGCCACAAATTATCAAAGACACAACGGCAATCATGCTAGAGCATACCGCTCCACACTGTGTCCACTCTGTAAAGCAGAAATTAGTTCTTACATTTTATATCACGACTTCAGACATAATATAAAAATTCTAAAGACTAATTATCCACCAGTAATCAAACAGATTATTAAAACACAAATGCTGCATTTCCCTCTTTTTGTACTTGCTTGTACAAAGTAAAGGAAGTGTTGTAATCGCGAAAAATTTCGGGTATCATAATTTAACGAAAATATCCATTTTTATTTCTCTGGAATCCACTTGAATATTGTTTTTGTGTGACATCTGTACGTGTGGACAGAATAAAGTTTTAATGTTTATAAAACGGATTGTAAAATTATTTTAAAATGGATTCAGAAGAGATTTTCTCGTGAAGTACGTGCTTATGTACGTATCTGAAATAATTGGAAAACGAATACCCCTAGTACGTTGAAATTTTGTATACGGGACTTCTATAACATCTTAGTTGTGCACCTTCCTTTCTCGTTGCGAGTAGTAAAATAAACTTATATAAATAATATATATATATAAATTAATGTACATAATTATACATATATATATAAACATTCTCACTCTGTTACTCGGCTCCGTAAGCTCAGGTTTTTATTCTTACATATCAGTATATTGAGCATTTTTGGCTTTAAATGTTATTGAATTACGGTATTCTTATATTACGGTTAAGGCTTATATACCTTTAGTCAATCTGCATGCAACAGTTGTAGAATTACCAGTATTTTAAAAATTTAAGTGGCTCCAAGACTGAGGCCAACATTTTTTTACATTCTTTGTAGAATGGGGAATTAAGTCATTTGGTGCACCAGTTGCAGTGTGTTTTTGCCAAGTGCGATCAAAAATTAATTTTAATTTTGTGCACCGAAAATTTCGTCTTTCTGCTCGATAGCTGAATTGCTTGTTTTTGCGTAGAAACTCTAATTTTAAATGCAATTTTTTTAAACTATTTTAAATGGCATTTGGTGTTTTAGGTTCTTCTGTATTTTAGCATTATTAACGAAGATATTTTGTGTTTTTTTGTACTTCTGCCTTGCTGCGAAGTGAGAAATTGATTGAATGAGAAATATATCCGTAATGAAATTGAGGAAATACGTTTAAATGAAGTGCAGCAAAACATGTGAATAACTTAATGGGCCGCACAAGGAAGTCATGTGTGGTGCCCACATCAGATAATTTTGCTATTTTTATCGGCCGAAAATGGAAAGTGCAAAATTATGTGAATAATTTAATTTCCATATGATTCGGTTAGGCCCAGTATCGCAGCGGCTAGCGCGTTGCGCATCAGCACCACAGATGCGGATGCCGGGCTGGGCAAAGTTGACTCATCCTTTCGTCCCTTGAGTGGGTTACTAAAATGAGTACCGAGTTCGCTTGGAGACTAAACACCGGGGATCCTGCGTCAAGCTCACCACTTGTCCAGGCGAAGTGCTTATACACTCCGAGGCCCACGGTCGGGAAAGCAGAAATCGGGGAACTACAGTCCGTGACCAGTAGGGCTGTAGCGCCATTGAATTTATGTTTCGCTTACAGTATGAATATTTTAAACAAATGAAACAAATAAAATGTAACTGTGGATAAACTATAGGTATCAGTCACAATATAATTTCTTTAAAAGAAACTTACCTTCCAATAAGAATACATAATAATATTAACATTAGAAAATACAATATTTTCATTTTTAAACTTATCTTGCCCATTTTTATTATTATATCTTGTACTTCTTAAGCCTCAACCCACTCGTAATAATTCAGAGACGGTGAACGTGCTATCAGCTTAACGAATTCGTAGACTGAATGTCAGTTCATGTTTGCTTCGCTGTGATTCGGCGTTTCTTGCATTAGACTAATAAAACGCTCAAGAGTTAGAAATGAAAGGTTAGGCGTGACCTTCGAAAGCAGTTTAAGAGGGTTTTTCTTTATTTGTAAGAGGTCCACCAGCGGCCGAGCGGTAAAGTCGCTGAAGATTGGTAGTTCGGTCCGAAGTTCGAACGGGTTGGCTGCAGGGGCGTTTTCGTGGTTTTCCCCATGTGTAACTTGTATACGAGTCAGTTTACCTTGGAGAGTCTTCCACGAAGGCATCCCTCCCCTTAGGCAGATAGCCCTAGTGTGCTTTGCCTTGCCATAATTAAATACACCCCCACACCACCACCTTTATTTGTAAGACAATTACAATCGTTACATTATCAGGACTACTATTTCTTCTAATTGCATTGGCAAACATACTGGAGTCCTGAGTAAGAACAGGAAGTTTACTAAAAATTATGTTCCTGAAAGTGTAGAAGATACAACACAAGTGGGAAGAGTTTAACTACCCTTTATTCTTCACAGTTGACAGCTTTTTCCTCATTTCGGGATACAAAGACCAGTGCTTGTGGTCTGAAACGTAAAAAATAAGAACTATAAACTAACTAAATTAAGTAAGAATTAAACTCAAGTGCTTTACAAAGACTAGTAAAGAGAGAATTGGCCTATAAATCTTCAGATGTGTAGTACGCAGAATGCGGGAAAACTGCAACACATCTTCAGTATCAAGAGGACTAAATTTTGGCCTTTAAAGACGGACAGCAACTGACCGAAAAGCGTGTGTGAAGTAAGGTGTCGAGAAGGCTATCTCTCTCTCTCTAACTCATTCTTGGCAATAACCCACAACTTAAACACTTTACAGTTTGCGGTATGTGCCTACCCTAAATTCGTCGTTTTAGTGAAAATTTTCGAAAAGTTTTTATTTATTCATTTCATAGGCCATACATTTAGGTTTCCAAAAATCCTTTATTTTTGTTTTTACGATAACTAGAAAGAAAGTTATGGTATAAAAAATAAACCGGAAGTGAATTTTTGGATGCCGGAAGTTGGCATTTAAATGGTCATAAAAATATAAACAAAGTTTAAACAACTATTTTCGACACGTTTCTGATAAAATGCCTACATGGGAAGACTCAAAACAATGAGTGTTTTAATAATCTTTTGAGGTATATTTTACGTAAAGAAACTTTTGTAGGACTGAAAACATTGCTTATAGGCGCACATATTGCTGTATTATTATTTAATTCAATATATTTAGAACCTTTACCTATTTTCAGGTATATAGAAATTAATCCCATTATGCTTGAAAGCTACATGGGAATAGACAAACAGCGAATTCAGAAATCGAAACGCCAGTCTCTACAAGCAACAAAGTTATCCAGAAAAATGCTAAAAAAAAGCCAAAATTAGTTAAGAATGAAGTAAAAGAGGACCTGACATACAAATACTGCGAGTTTTATTTTTTGTGCTATATTAAAATCTTTAAATGCATTTTCTGAGAAATTGTGTTTTTCGTTACTTTTGATTGCGATTACGTTAATTTCTCATAATGTATTTAGAATATTGTAATGAAATTTTGCCAAAATGTTTTATTCATCTTTAGCTGTATTCTGTAGCAAAATCGGACCTCTTTGTATTTATTTATTTATTGATTTTATTGACAGTATTTTGAAGAAAAGAGGATTTTTTTTGTTTTAATTTTCAGTTTTTGTACCAAGTTTTGAATATTTCAAAAAATTTTATAAGTGCAGCAAATCTTTTGCTACAGAACACAGGTAAGTATGTTATTTATATACTGTGTAAAGATTATTGAAGTATTTTCGTTAGTATCTATTACATGAGATCTGGCGTAAATGAAAATTTTCACTAAAATTTTACTAAATATTGCCTATATTTAAAAAATTAATGAAACTCTCTTAAAATCCCATTTCAATTCATAGTTTTATATCCCATCTTAGTAAAAAACATGTGTGTTTAAATAAAATTTTATGTATTTAAAAAAAAGCGCTTCGTATGTAGGCACATACCTTAAATACTTTACAGTTTGCAAGCTCAATTTGCATAACTAAAACTAACCGCTTTTATTCTGGCCGAAAGTGGAAAATAAGAGGGGACAGTAAAGTTTTAAAATAAAATAACGTTAGTAAAACTTAAAATCCTTACAACATGATCGAATCAATCTTAAAACTCAGGAAAGCTCGTTCTCTACACGCAATGCGGGAAGTTAAAATCAAGCGAATATTTTTAAAATTTGCATAATCTGACTCTATTGAGAAAAGGCGCGAGCATACCCGATATTTGAATTCTTTGATAAGGATGTTCTTAGAAGAATATGTAAAAGGCACTACTTATTTGATCAATAGCTTTGTTTAAGCGGTTTGAAATATATCTCTCATTCATTCAGTTTTTTAATAATCTCTTCATGTAATAAAAGAAAGAGTCTGTGTCTTTCGTTCCTGCTTGCGCGTAAGGTAATAGACCCAGGGCTACGAAATTTGGAATATAGGTGCATCTAGACAAGAGTCAGTGCACCTCGAAGCGATTTTTTTCAAAACTGGAATCAGATCTTTTTTATTCTATCGTTTTGATTTTATCGCATCATTTTAAATAGATTCATTCTTTCAGAAATGTTGTTTTGGTAACAGTTTTTCATTCAGTGCTTTGTATATCGGACTGCTGACTGTTGAAAATATGAGATAAAAATGCTGCTTTTTTTTCTTTTGATTTTTGGACACACACACGCACATCGCAATCCTCTTATTCTGACGCGCATGTGTCTCGCGAGGCACAACAGAAAGAATTTCCTTTCTCTCTCTTTATTAGCTAATGGCAAAGAGGTTTGTATGTTTTGAATTATTGAATTATATCACCCACAAAGCACAGTTTTGATTGGTTATTGCTTTCTGATGATGGTTTCATTCTTTTAGAAATGTGGTTTTGGCAAGAGTTTTTCATTCATTGCTTTGGATACTGGACTGCTGACTGTCTCTTAAAAATCTCTTAAAATATGAGATTTATTGCTTATTTCATTGTAATGTTTTTGAATTAATTTTTAATTATACATAATCTTAATTATATAAAAAGTTTTGCGTGCTTTTTTTAGGAAACAAAGTTCTTAATTTCCTTTATACCATTTGCATTCTTAAGATTTTGCAACGGGAAGTTGGTTAATTTATTTATTAGGATAACTAATATTTGTATTTAGGGATATTCCTTAGTTCATTATTGTAATTTTATATGTAATTCCCTTTTTTTTTTAATTTGTGTGGTTTTTTGTCACTTGATAAATTTGTTCTGTGGAATAAAATTCTGTGCAGTTTTTAAATTTAATGTTTGGTGTTCCCTTTAGGCATTTTTCCGGTACATGTAAAAGCCAGACAAAGGCTAGCCGCGTAGCTGCTAGTGTACTATAAAACTCATCACATCCATAGTTCAGATATTAATGTTCTCGTGATATTCTACAAGACGTTTAAGTCTGATACCACATTTTGGGCGTAATTTAACGTTTTAAGTAACATTCTTTAGCCGCATGTATCCTGCACTTTCTTCTTACTGAGTCCCTAACTTCCGTATATATGCGCCGCCGTCCGCAAGTGTTAATGATATACTCCATTGTCCTTACCATTGTCTTGATATTCCATTGGCAGAGGTGGCAAAGTGTGTGGCTCCTCAACGCTCTTGACGCGACTTCGGGAGGCTGGTGGTCGAACTCGTTTCGGAGGTGGAGAGAAATTGACGCAGACGCATGTGTTTGGACTAACACACGTGCAAGGGGCTGCAGACTTTCCGACACCTTTACCGGAAGGAGCTGGCACAGCTTCTCCTCTGACATTACCTGCGGACAATACCAACAAGTAAAACGTAAGTTAAAACACTAATTAATTTAATTAATTTAAATTAGAATTAATGTTTAGTAATGTATATACAGGGGGATTATAAAATAACTTTCCGTGTTTGAAAACATCTGCAGCTAAAATTAAAGGAAGAAATGAAAAAAAGATTTAATATAGACAGCACAAGACCTAAGGTGAAGAATTCCGAAAACACTGTGCTTGAAAGTGCTCAAATTTTAATGTTACACCAGAGGATTTTTTAAGATTATTAATGTTCTCGTTCAAATTAAAAAAAAAAAAAAAAAAAAAAAAATCATAAAATAAGCTTAAAAAAATCTGAAAGATTTCAGATTCTAAATTGCGTCCAAAGAGGCGCTTTTTCAATAGTTTGTGTGTTACGTTTATTTATTAAATATTACGTTCTTCGCATTTAAACCATAAAATTTAGTTCAACAGCAATATCGCAAAATAGTTTTAAAATGAGGCTATCTATAGAATTTCCGATACAGAGACTCGCGCGCTGGAGATAATTTTTTTTTTTTTTTTTTTTTGTACAGCGTTGCCATTGTTTGCTTCGAAATCCTTGAGTTTGTTAATAAAAAATTCGTTAAAATTTTACAAAAGTATAAAATCGATAATAAAACAAATTCCAAATTTCAAATTTGGTCTTCCACATGCCCCCATTTGTAGGAGAATTACGTCATTCAGAATTCGATGGCTCTATGTACCGTTGTTTTATCACAATGCGAGATATATACATACATTTATGCAGATTTTTCAATATTTAATTTCTTCAAATATAATGCAGGACTCTAACATTTGGTGGCAACAGTTTGAAAAATGAAACGGACATTTATAGTAAACCAACGCAAAATCGCAAAATGGAAACAATAGTCATTCAGGGACAAAGCTCCTTCGGACTAAAAAAAAAAAAAAAAAAAAAAAAAAAAAAAAAAAAAAAAAAATCCTTTGGACTAAAAAGAAAACAAAAATTCTGAAAGCTTTCAGATTTTATATTACGCCCAAAGGGGCGTTTTTTAACCTTTTGTGTGTTGCCTTTGTAGGGTTTCTTATTTTGCATAACAAATTTATTTTAAGTTGTACCTTTATCTGAACTTCTCAACTTTCCCTCGAATACTCTCGCCAGGATGTAAATTTATAGTTACGTGAAGTGCATATTTAAACAGGTGAATCTCTGAGTTTATTCAGAGCTTGTTTCGCTAGCCTGGCGCACTTTACGTTGTTTTCCGTGTTACGCTAGCAAGCGTCTTGGCCTTGTCGGAATTCTCACTGTTAGGTTTTCTGTGAGTCCACTTCTTAGGCGTAACTTACGTTCGATCCAGCACTACTTATTTTAAATTTTGCCGTGAATTATATTCTGCGTTTTTAGTTTCACGACAAGTTTGACGTGCCTTTGTAACGCACGAAGACTGTGCCTTTCTGTTAACAATTTTGAATTAATGAAGGGTTATTTTCAATATTTTTCTGGGTGATAGTTATTCACGCCTGTGCGAGAATTCGCCAGGTTCAGATTGGGATCTAATTTAGTTTATGTGAAACAAGAGAGAACGACCCTACACCTTATTAAATAACATGTTCTTCGCAATTAAACAATAAAATTCAAGTCAACAGAAGTATCATAAAATATTTAAAAGATCATATTTTTAGAACTTCCGATACACAGTCTAGAGAACTGAAGATAAAAATGTTTTTTTTCCCCTTTACACTGTTGCATTCTTGCTTTGAAATCATTGAGTTTGTTAATCAGAAATTGTTTAATGTTTCATAAACTATGAAATAGAAAATAAAACAAATTCCAAATTTGGGTTTCCAGATGCCCATATTCGAGTGGAGGGCTACGTTAATCAAAATTCGATGGCTCTAGGCACCGTTGTGTTTTTGCAGTGCGAGAAACATACATACATTCATGCAGATTCTTCATTGTTTAATTTCTTTAAATATAATTCAAGGCTCTAACATTTGGTGGCAATAATTTGAAAAGTGAACCGACGGAAAATGCCAAAACGAAATAATAGCCCTTCTGGGCAAACTGCCCCTTTGGGCTGAAAAAAAATCATCTGGTCTTAGATTTACCTTTACTAAAGCATTCTTTTTTTTTTTTCTGTTGTTAGCTTTATTATCAAACATCGTTTTATTTGCACTCAAGCCGCAAAAATTTAAAGATAAAAATTGCAATATCAGAACATTTAAAAACAGTATATCTTTAGAATTCCCAACAGAGTATTAGAGGTTTCAGTTTGGTTTAAAACCTTGGGTTTTAAAAGGCAATGTGTTACGTTTCGAATCAATTGGATTCAAAGTTCATGTGCAATGTCTCCTTCTTTAGTCGAGCTTGCGTTACTGGTCAAATTCTTTTACCTCAACTAGTGCAACGCGTCAGCCGTTCTTCGCGCTTTTAGAACGCACACACACACACACACACACACACAAAAAAAAAAAAAAAAATGCGTAAAGGTGATGGTCCTGTGTCAGTTAATGGGCTAAAAGCAATGGTTGCGACGTTTGAGGAAACAGGTTCTCTGAAGGTTCAGTCAGGCAGAGGACGAAAACCTGTACCACAGAATACAATCGAAGCAGTTGCCACGGTGATTGTCGACAGAGGACCAGACAATATTGCTGCCACCTCTAGCGCTCGTGGAGTAGCTCGGAATATCGATATGCCTTATAGTACGGTATGGAAAATCTTACGAAAGTTATCAACTTCTATCCGTACAATTTCAGCCGTGTACAGGAGTTACTGTAAGTAAGTAAATAAGTTTTTAGCTTCCCTGTTCCGGGAACTAAGCCTACTACAGGTCTACTCCCCCTTTGGGCACATCGTGGAGGTTCAACCTCCACTATTACCCTCCAGGAGAGCAGCGGGACATTACCCAGGACCCCGGGGGAGACCCCCGGGTTACTAGAACCACGCCGCGCTAGGACGTGCCAGACTCCGAGGTCGGCCAATAAGTGACCTTTCCCAGAGCCTTCAGAACCACCAAGTTCATAAATTTTATACCCCCATGGCCGAGACTGCCTAGGTACAGATCCTAACCAGTAGCTTCGCAGAGTTCTCTATGTCGACCCCCGGGGGGACAGGAGTTACTGTACCCCGACAGTGAGAAGCGATTGACTTTTGCTCTCACCTTTCTTGCCAGAATGAAGGTGGATGATGCTTGGCCATGGAAAATCTTATGGGGAGACGAGGTCCACTTTTACCTGAATGGAACTGTGAATACCCAGAACTGCCGAATTTGGAATGACAAACCACTACATGCAGTCACAGCAATTCCCTTACATTCAACAAAGGTAACTGTTTAGTGTGGGTTCACAGCGGAATTTATCGTAGGTCCATTCTTCTATGAGAACATTACCCCCGACAGGACCTTGAGGAAATCATTTTCATGAAAGATGGAGCCCCTCCACACGTTGCTGTACGGGTGCAACAGATGCTATGACAGAAATTCACAACAGAAAGAGTCATTAGCCGCTACTTTCCAACTGCATGGTCACCTCGGTCGCCTGATCTTACCCCATGCAACTTCTAACTATGGGGTTACCTTAAGTCCAAGGTCTATCAAGGAGTGGTCCAGGACCTGGCTACGTTGAAGGACAACATATCACGGATTGTAAGGGAGATTCCGGCAAACATGTTACTTTCTGCTGTTGTGCATACTGAATGCAATATGTACTCCAAAACAACGGCAGCCACATTGAACCTCATTTGAATGCAAAATAAAAGGTCATTTCCGTATTGATTTGCATTTGTTACACTCTATTTTCTATCACACAGCGCCAAATATTCCCCTAGCGGTGACTTTTGGAACTAATTTATTTTTTCGCGGAATCCTTCGTCCCCCGTCTTGTTTAATTTTTCTACAAAATGTGGCGTCATTCTCGCAAATAGATCGCGCTACAGAACACTGTGAGCACTGTCAGTTTAATTATGGCCACCCGTTACATGCTTACAAAATAATAAAATATATCTAATTACTTGCACAATCTTGGGGACATATAAACGGATCCATCATCTCCAACTCATCACAAACACCATCGGGACAGGTTTCCAGATGTGGCGAACACGTCGCGTACTCGGAAATGAGCGTGGCCGAAGACTGGGATCTCCATCTACAAAATCCATCCAGGGCTCCTCTTCCACAACTCGAGAAACATGTTTCCGCATTTGCGTGTAAAGCACAAGATTGGAAATGGTGACCAGGTTCAAGACCTAACGAATAGTAATATTTGAAAAGTCATAAACTGGGAACCCAATAGGGTTCATATCATCTTTTTTAACAATAAATAAATAAAAATTAAAATTAAAAAAGGGTATGATAGCATGCAGCTGTACTCACCACAAACAGTTCTTGGGTCACCTGCAAAAAGTAAGATAAATAATGAATTTAAATGAATACTAAATTAAATAGTTCAATAAAAGTGAATAAATGATAACCTATATGTATATAAAGAAGAAAGTATGTTTGTTTGTTTTCTAATAACTCAGTTACTACTATAGCTATCGTCACCAAATTTTCTACAATTCTTTTCTGGGTCCTGGAAAAGGTCAACGTCCACTTTTTCCAGAAAACAATTAAAAACATTAAGAGATATTAATTAAAAATTCGGAAAAATTATCAATTTCGCCCTCATTTTTCCGAGTGGCAACAGTCTCGCAAACTGGAGATGAAAATCTGCTTTATTTCGAAAGTTGGTGCCACTGCTCGCTTTCAAATCCTAGAATTTGTTAATAAAAACTTTCTCTAAGTTTTACGATGGAATAAAAATAGCATTGCGAAACATTAAATACATTATACCCGATTCCAAAAATTCGTGGGAAGCCATTTCTTCTATTCCCATCTTTGTACGACTTTAATCGGATTAGATATTAATTAAAAATTCTGAAAACATTAATTTTCAAGCTCATTTCTTCGAGTGGCAACAGTCTCGCGCGTTGGAGATAAAAGTGCTTTATCTGGAAAAGTGTTGTTACTGCTCGCTTTCAAATCGTAGTTTGGTAATCAAAAATTTGTAAGTTTTACAAAACCTATACGTACAAAGAAGAATGTCTGTTTGTGTGTTTGTTCGCGTTATTGATTTCTGATCCATTATGATCCATTTTTTGCAACATTCAATCGACTAAAACTGAATAAATATACGTGAAATATTAGATGGAACTTGAGCTTTTACGACCGTTTGATTAGAAAGATGAAAATGATCAAAAACTGCTTGCCTTTATTACTGATGTAATGCGACAAAATGAGCTTATTTATCTATCGAAATTGTTTATGTGGGTTCCATATCGCATCAGACTGTAAAATGTATGACTATGAATCAGAATTTTTGCATTGTTATCACAGAATGATTACTGCACTATCGTTTCTGTTGTTAGATGCATTACTCTCAATCTTACTTAACTGGCATCAGGTGCTTCCGCTAGTAGTGAATAAAAGGTATATATTACCCAGAGCAAACCAAGTTACAAATCTGCCGTTTTTGCTACTCGTATTTTTATTTAGTTGTGTTTTCTAAGATTTTCTTTAATAGCTTACATCAACGGGCCAACCGTGGTCGCTTCCGAGGTAATTTTATGCACGCGAGGACAATTTAATTACCTTTTTATTGCAAAGATTCTATGATTTTAGTTAAGTGAAATCCGAATTTATATTAATGGCGGCAAGAAAAAAATTTCGGCTTGCACAAATAAATAGTGTTATGATCTTTTTAATATTCTTCTGTGAATGTTATATTTTCTTTTCTTTTAAGAGGTGGGAGCTGACACTTTATTTTTATCTTGCTGTAGAATCAAATTTCGTATATTTATGTTCATAATTGTTAGTTTGTCATGCATATAAAAACGGGGTGCAAAAATAAACGTTTACAACATATTTTATGTTTATATTCCCATAAATACGAGAAAGTGGCTGAGGCTCATGTGGCTATATGGGAAGTTTATCTTGTTGATTGCTAAAATGGAACGCATGTGTCAGAATTGGTTCAAAAAATTTCGCTCTGGAGATATTTCACTTGATATTTCACTATGGTCAACTTTCGGAATTGATGATAACAAGATTAAGGTCATAATTGAGTCGAATCGTCACATAACTGTGCGAGAGATCGCGAAAACATTAACTGTATCAAAAATAACAACTGGATTTGATAAGAAGCTCGATATTTGGTTTCTGCATGAATTGATAAAAATTCGCTTAACACAACGTATCAAAATCTGCGATATGCTTTTCAACCGTAATGCAATTGACCCTTTTCTGTAAAGAATTATCACTGGAGATACAAAATGGATCACCATTTGTTTTTAATATGTAATGGCCCGGCGCATTATTTAATAGCCATTAGCTATGGGCAACTACAAGGGTCTGAAATGCTGGCCATTTCATGATGGAAGCACCTAACAGGTGGCCACCTCTGCCTCCTATGAAGGGACGGACAGTTACAACCATGCCTTCGGTTTCCGGGATTCCAGTCCGGAAACCATAGATATGGCAGACACGGTCACTAACTACTATACATTGTTGGAACACCTGTCAATTTGTGTAGACTGAAATTGTATAACAAATCTATCGTTTTGAGCAATTTAGAATTGTATTGAAAAAAAATTAAGAATTAGTTTTTTTTATTTGCTTTTTTTTTTTTATCTAGGAGCCAAGTTATTATTTACACAACATTTGCTTCTGTGAATAATAATAGTATACATATTACTGTGAACATCCCAACTGCAATTTCTTGATTGCTTTGTGGATAACTGGGAGATAGTGTACAAATTGCTATGGATACACATAAATGAGGTGTGCAAACCGCTAAGGACACGAAGTTCTGATGCATCGAAGTGGACAAGTGTTTACGTTAACAATGAACTTAGAATTTATCAAAAGTCAACTTAGAATCCAATTTATATGAACATAGAAACATCATAAACTTTGGGCTATTGAACTATACAATGCCTAAACTCATGTGACTGGCCTACTCCGTGGATAATTGCAACAATAGTGTGCAAATTGCTAAGGACACACATCATTAGGTGTGTAACGGGTAAGAACACGAAGTTATGACGTATTGAAGTAGACATGGGTTTAGAGACTGATTAATATATAAGTTTCACTCTCCACAGCATAGATCCTATCCATGACAATGTAATAATTAATTGATTGTATATTTTTTCATACGGACTATTATGTAACAATTATTGTAAAGATGACATTTTCAATTTAGCATTGTAATATTAGTATCATTGATTCAATGAATGCCGCCGGTAGTGGTTGGTAGATTCTTTTCCGTCGCATGGACATAACTCTGATTGGTGTAGAACTTTAGGTGGGAGGTCCATGCGACGGCGTTTCGTCACTAACTGCTATACCGGATGGGCTACTGATTACTGTACAGGCACTAATTACCGTATCGGCTGGGAGACCGAGCACAAATCATATCAAAAACTAAATTGCATCAAAAAAGAATCATGCCATGTTGTATTACTTACGTTTCTCTCTTCTCTCTTGAAGGCATAATATGTAATTGAATAAGCGGTTGCCTATGAGGACTATAGGCTTGTAAGTATCTATAATAAAGAAGAAAAGTCGTAGTTTTTGTTTAAGGAGAACAGCATAAATTCATAAACGTTTGTAGATTCATTAGGGCTTTTTTATGCTTGAGAAGTGAAAAATGAACAGTGCCCTCTCCAGGATTCAAACCTTGAAACTCTCGATCCCGCACCGTTACACTACGAAAGCATGCTAGACGGAGGGAGAAAACACCTTATACATTAATTACATATTATAGTTAGCAGCGATCTCATTGCACATTGGAAAGCTTAAGCAATAATAATACTAACCAGCATCTAAAACCGTCAGGAAGATATTGCAGCTTCTGTCCGTTTTGTCTTTGCTTCTCCAACTGAGTTGTAGTTTGAAAAAGTTGGCCGGACTTCTGGCTAAAGACACTTCATCTCTAATATAAACGATTCCTGTAACAGGCGTAACACCGAATATCCGTGTGCTGGGCAGTCCTTCCTCCGGTTCACCGGATAATCGGAAGAAATAGCCGTCATGAGGTTTAACTTCCATGGGTTGGACAACCTATGAGAACAAAGCAATTCATTAATTAATCTTGCATATTAATATACGGTTGTTCACTGTACACTTTAAACGCAAACAGCAAGCCTCTTACATTATTAAATCAAAATATAATACCGTGTTTCTTAGCGTATTTTCCCTTGTATGAACAAAAATCAAAGAAGAACAGAGTTTTTCTAAATGTTTTCTAAATGAGGTTTAACGCTTTGTAGTATTTACTACGTAAAACTTAAAATTATAATTAATACATGAAATGAAAGAACAATTCAAACAGTTATACCTACAAGCTTTACAAGTGTTCAATGTGAGCACCTTTCGTCACACAGCATACGTCAAGTCGAAAACCGTTGGTCCAAATAACCCTTAGTCGTCCCGTACACTTCCCTTTGCAAGGACAGCCTATATTTTCAAACTGACACTAGCATCTACGGATGTTATTATCACTTGGGGGATCACATCTAAACTTGATCCGGAACGCTTAATGGCAAACCGCACATTGAGTTGATCAATGTTAACGAATTTCGCTTACTGCGCATGCTCAATGATGTACCGCTGGCGTGGGAGAAAATACTGGCGACTAAGCATAAGCAACCTTACACAAGCCTGTTCGTTATGTAGGTCTTATCGACTGTTTACAATTGCAACAGTCTATTTCAATTACTTACAATAATTTATTTGACCTTTAATTCAGTAATGTAAACTAGATTTAATCCTTAATTTGTTACAGTATATACGAATGGAACGTATGTTAAATACTCAATCGTTTTTATTCCTCAAAAGTATAATCAGCTAATATACCTTGTAATGTTTCCTGTTTTGTAATCCTTTTTAAAAGAAAATTTGGGTAGTTTACAATCGACATTTACATTCCAAGTAATGAAGCAGCTTACAACCTGACACGTTTTAAAACTTTTTAAAACCTCGAACTTTTTACGCCCAAGATAACACAATATCAACCATAGACCGTATTTATCTTCTTTTAAAATTGCGCCAAAGTCCTAACTGCGCCAAATTTTTCTTTTGGGCATGCGCAGTAAGCGAAATTCGTTTAACATTGATCAATATAATGTGCGGTTTGCCATTACGCATCCGGAACGCACGATCCACGGTAACTACAGATTCAGAGTAGCGTCTCCGTTCTGCGGGGCTAATGCTTCACGCATGCACAGTGATATGATTCGCTAGCGTAATAGGCCGGCATCTGTTGTACACTATTGGCGATGTATCATAAGATTGGCGATTAATGTTTGTTCCGTAAAATATTGTCGCCGCTAGAGTTAGCCGTGACTTACCTGTTTACTTGTGCTTATATTTAGTGTGATTATTATGTATAAATTTGAGTTACTAAACTAAAAGATATTCGTGAATTTGTATATGTAGACTAAAAAGTTCTTCAACATAAACAACACCCATTTTTCTTTCGCTACTTCCCTGGTAGTTCGGTCCGAGGTTCGAATCCCGCGAACGGGCTGGCTGCATGGGCGTTTTCGTGGTTTTCCCCATATGTAACGTGTATACGTGCCAGTTTCCCTTAGAAAGTCCTCCTCGAAGGCATCCCTCCCCTCAGTCAGATAGCCCTCGAGGCTTTGCCATAATCACACACACACACTTTCGGTACGACCAGCTATTGACAGAATACTTTAAATTTAATTTCACAAGAGCATTTTGAAGGAATGATAAAAAATTGTACGGAAATGTACTATTTAGGGTTTACTACAAGGGCAACTCATATTATTTAACAAAGCTATGCTGATAATGGGAAGTACACTGACTACCAATAAGTATTTGGACACCTGTGATAGAAAAGAAAAACTAACTTTATTCAAAATCAATAGTTGGTAGAGCCTCCACGAGAGGTAATTACAGCGTGGACCCTCCGGGGCATACTTTCCACAAGTCTTTGTAAGACAGCTAGTGGTATTTTCTTCCACTCGGCTTGGGGAAGACATAGAACTTCCTTCACCGATTTTGCACGGGTATTGCACCCCTGAATTCGGCGATGCAACTCGTCCCAAAGGTTCTCGTCCCAAAAACTCTTATTCTTGCTAAATTGAATAATGTATGTGTGTGATTATGGCAAAGCCTCGAGGGCTATCTGCCTAAGAGGAGGAATGCCTTCGTGGAGGACTTTCTAAGGGAAACTGGCCCGTATACACGTTACACATGTGGAAAACCACGAAAACCCCATTGCAGCCAGCCCGTTCGCGGGATTCGAACCTCGGACCGAACTACCAGTGTTCAGCGATTTTACCGCTCGGCCGCTGGTGGGCCTAAATTGAATAAATTCTATATACAATAGACACATTTTAAACCGGCATTCCCGGCGTAACAAAAACGAACGGCATTACTCGCGCAGGGTATCTCTTACCCAAGGGTGTTTCATGATATTTTAAACCATATTTTAATAGTTTTTTCGGCATATTTTGCTGATATGGACATTGCCTTCTAAATGTTTGTCATCTATAGTAACATATTCTTCGATATTATATGATTTTTTTATAGTTTTCGAAGAATATTTCAAAAAAGCTTTTCCTACTCTGATGAGTTCTAATATCATCAAAGCATAGACATCACATCTAAAAATTAAAACGGTTTGCGGACCTTGTTGTGAGAAATATTTCTATTCCGTTGCCCAGAGATCTGTTTCGTGTACAAGGGAGGATTTGTATACACCACAAATGCATAACAGTCCAATAAAAGCTTTAATTTCAGTTTCATTTGTCTTTTTAGCATCCCTTTCTCGGAAAAATCATTCTTTTATTGATTGGATAAAAATACTCATGCATTCTGCTAAAGTTTGAATTAACTCAGGAGAGAGAAGATACCAAGCTTCCAAAGGAGCTTGGTATCTTCTCTCTCCTATGAATTTCTTATGAAATACATGTACAGTGTGTCTATCATAAGAAAAGCTCTCGCCAGTTAGTCTGCAGCTGTCTGTTGCCATAGAAACGAGCCTTGACCCAGTTCCCACAGAGGTGTCTTGAAGATTTACTTTTCACTTTGCCATCTTGGTGCATTTAAAGATGAATTGGCAACCTTTGGTTCGCCAGCATTTGAGATGTACTAGCCCTGTTGCCGCACCCGCCAGACACTGTGGCGGGGCTGTTCTTCTCGTAGAAAGACAGTATTTCCAGGGAGTTTCGTTATTATGTTTTTTTGCGGAAACTCTAACATTCGGACTGAATTTCTATTTTTTCCAGACTCTTTTGTTATCTCTTTCCATAAAGTAATTATTTTCATCACAACCCACATCTTCTTCTTCTATATCTTAGTCTTATTTCAGTAGATGAATCATGATTACTGTTATATTCTTCATCATCTTCACTCAAACTCTCTTCATTCGAAGGTACAACATCCAATAAATTTCTCAAATGTGGCATTTCTTCATCATAACTGCGATAACACGCCATATCGGAAGAACAATTTGAAAGCTTTTTCGCATACTCAGAACCAATAACACAAATACTCACGCAAGATATAATACACCCGTCGAGGTTTGGCCTTATGGCTGATATGAATCGGCTACGGGGGGGGGGATCGGGGCTGCGCTTACAACAACAAAACCCGTCGCGGTTATATCCAAAAAACTATTTTTAGAATTTGGGCAAAGGTTTCCTCACCTTCAAGGTTATTACCTTAGGGTCAGCTATACGTGGACTCATCCATTTCACAAAAAAGGTTAGAAAGGAACATTTATGAATTCGAGGTGGTTATCTCATACCCTACGCGAGTAATACCGTGGCCTTCGAGAATTTAGATAGAATTTAGATGTTATATCCAGTTGACAGTGGTAATACCGAATTAATGTAGCCTCTGTCAATGTTATCATCCGGACACGATATTAACGAAATAACAGAGTCCCATCCGTTTGTATACGAAAACATGATCAACAATTTGATTGAAATTACCAAAGTATTATAGAATATTTTTTTTAACTGAAGTAAAGTCGCTAAATAAGGTCAAAATAGATAATAAAAAATGCGAAGTAAAATTTTGCCAAGTAAGGAATTAGGTCGCCACACAATGCGTTTTCAAAAATTTGACAGGAAACAACCTTATTTTGGCGCGGATTTTGAGAGCGATCGGGCAAAATCCCTGTTCTTCAGGAGCAAGTGCAAAATTGTTTTCGTTGCTCGTGGAAAATAACAAAATTCCCTCAAAACGTCTACGCCAAATTAAAATTGCTTTATTGCCTAATATTACATTTTACATTTGCATATTCTCTTGCAGTGAATGAGAGGATGTCCTCCGAATATTATGATTAGGGATATAGCACCGGTCAAAAAATTTCCAGAAGACTTCATAAATGAAAAATATTTTATGAACATTTCGTCAGCAAATTTTTACCTTTCTTAATTAAAGTTCTGTGAAAGTACATATTTATATACTTTGTAGAGACATTAGGTTATTTCGAAGCAGGAAAGGTGAAAAATGAGCAACGCCTTCACCGGGACTCGAACCATGGACCACTCGAGTGCGCGTCAAGTGTGCTCACCACTACACCACGAAGGCATGCTAAGAAGACGGGAGAAATGTCTTACATACGCCCCTTTTAAAGGGCGACTGAAGTTTTAGGAGACCTAATCTCTAAATCCTGGTGGTGAAGAATCATCATTCAGCACCTTTTATTCTGGGCGCCACTGTAGACACATTAGGTTATTTCGAAGCAAGAGATATGAAAAAGGAGCAGTGCCCTTGCCGGGACTCGAACCACGGACCTCTCGAATACGCGTCGAATGTGCTGACCGCCACACCACGAAGGCGGAAAAGAAATACCTGATAACTTCTTGTTGTATTTATTTTAAACTAATTTAATTATACTGTTATTTTGAAGGATTTATTTCTCGTCGTTTAATGTTATCATTCGGTTAATGTTATCATAATAACCGTAAACAGACGTTATCAGGTTCAATGTTCCGTCTTACTTTCTTCGGGAACATGCAAGGACCTGACTCGGAACAGAGAGCTTACTAAAGCTATGTTCAATCACTGTGGGAAGTAGA